ATATATATATATATATATATGGTATTAGAATTTTAATAGCTAAATGGTCATGAGTTCAAACTTATTATTCCATTTATTCTTCTAATTAAATTATAAATTATATGCAAAATAGAAGTGGTTTTGTAAAATTTTAAATTCAATTTTGTTTACTAAATAATATTATATCTTAATTATACATCAATCAATAACTTAAATTTTTAACTTGAGTTTGTTATTTGGCAGTAAGTAGTTAGCTAACTTTTTTATTTATATAAACTATGTATACCCATTTAATTAATTTGATGATGACAATGAAATAAATGTAGTCCAATTGGGATTGATAAACTCATGCATAATTGCTGCACAACAAAATTAAAACACTGGTTTATTTATTATTTGTGGCGTTAAATAAAATTGATAATTTAATTAAAATTTTCAATTGAGTGACAATATAATTAATATTATAAAACAAGTAGAATTAAGAAACACGAGAATAGCAATTGTTAGAATTCATAAATCAAATTAAAAAAAAAAAAAAAAACTACAGAAACTTGTACATGCAATTTTTGAAAATTATACTTGCAGTTTTGCCGGCATTATGAACATAATTAATTAATATGATAGATTTTTAATAAACCTCCATATCAAATAAATGTATATATAATCATTATGATATGATAAAATGGAAAACACCTTAATTAGGAGATAAAATAAGATTTGTAAGGAAAGTAGTTATTGTTAAATTCAAGCCTTTAGTTATGAAAAAAAAAAAAAAACTAATTATTTATAAGAAGCTCAAAAAACAATTAATATCTAGCATGCTAATTCAAATAATTAAGACTTTTCCTTGAAAACCGAAAGGACGTAGAACTTCCTTCTTCTTCTTCTTCTTCTTCTTCTTCTTCTTCTTTTTTTTTTTTTTGTACAACTTCAAATATCAAGCTGGGTTAAGATTTGTTTATATTGCCCAAAAAAAAAAAAAAAAATTAAGAACTATTTTAAATTTAGGACTAAAGTTGCAAGAAACTATAAATTATAATGAAACTTGAAACAACAACAAGATTCCGATCCTATGGTTGAAATGAGATTGGATCACATCGATCATTGTGTTAGTGTATCATGATCCATATTTTAATTAATTAATTAATGCCAATAAAGTAATTATTCTCAAAGAATAACCAATTAAGTACCTACCTAGCTATATCTCATCAAAGCTCAACATCTAAATATTTAAACTAATTTTATTATTTTTATTTTCAGTATTAAAAATTGCAAAGCAAAAGCCTCTAGCTTCTTAATTATCAACAATCGGATTCTTTGCTAAACCTTCTTAAGCGTTTGTTATTTATACGTTTGTTGGTAGTATTTAAAGTAAATAAATACGAGGATCGGAGGTAATCGATGCCTTGATCTCTTTTAAATGGAGAATTTATAACCAACTGGATTCCACTAACTAGCCAGGAAGGTGGCATGCTCAATCAATGATATTTACATCCAAATCAAAGGAAAAAAAAAAATTCTGTCTTAAAGTGAGATTTTAGACAATTATGATCCACCTTAATCACTTGCTTGAGTATCTCTAACATAAATAAATTACGTGTGGCCCATAGGTTTTCTTGTACGTGAACTTATTCTCTCCACATTATATTAATTACATGAAAAACCATTGGGTTCGTTGAAAGTTGAGTGATTGTTTTGATGCAGATCGAGATGAATGAATGGGGACTTCTCTTCTAAAAAAGAAAAAAAAAGAGGGAATTGTTGGCTATAAAGGGAATAAATTTAAAGGTAAACAAGAATTAATGGTTTGCTTATCTAATTTTATATCATAATTAGGTTAATTTATGCCTAACTTTGATTAAAGGAGAAAGAATGAAACCATTTACAATGATATGGAGAATAAAGTACTAAAAAACATGGAGAATGTAGGATCAATTCAATTCCGGTATTAAGAACAAATTAAGGGGGTGGTATATATGTTTTTCGTTTATATTCCATAATTCCTTGAAAATGACAGGATTAAGGTATTTTAATCAAAGCTAAAGCTAAAGCTATACGTACAATTAGAATTTGTAAAACTTACGCTCTTCAATCATCATTATTATTTTTTTAAAAAAAAAAAAAAAAAAACAACACTATCCTATTTCCCTAGGGCTAACTTCTGACACCAGCTGTATATTACTATATCCACATTTATTTTTTATTTTTTATTTTTATTTACTATACATTAGGCCTGAGCTAGGCCATGCATGATTTCCAGATCAAACGGCTTTACATTCTTTCCTTTCTCCTCCTTTTATTTCGATTTTCTACATAGTTTTTTCTATCTGTTTTCTTGTCCTTATTTGCAATAACAGAAAACAAAAAGAAGCACCCAGTGGCGGGCTTGCTTGCCGGAAAAAGGTATGTGGACTTAATGGTAATTTATTATTTGTATAAAAAACATTCCCCAAAAGAAAGCATGCAGCGCATCTAGTGTAGTGGTAACACCCTCCCACGGTACTGACCGGGGTTCGATTCCCCGGATGCGCAATATTCAAAATCATGGGTACAATATTCTTCTTTTTTTTTTCTTTTTTTTTTTGGGTAAAAACAACTTCAATGGATAGTGCAGATATTCTGCTTCGTAGCCAGAGCTAGCCAGCATCAATTAGTAGAAAGAAGGAAATTGAGACCCATGTTTAAGCTCGTTTCCTAGGAACCAAGGAGCAGCAGCCTTGCAACCTATGGTATCAATCCTTCTCAGACATGCCTAATGGACTTGCAGAACCCTGTTGCTAGTAATGGTTAATTAATCAGGCCCCAAAACATCTTTCTTCTCAATTAAGTGAATGGACCCCTAACAGCATTCAGATTTAATTCTTTTGTGTGACTGTCTGTAGACAGGAACTGTGCGAGGACTGAGGGCGTGAGGCTGGCGTATCAAATTGCGGCTTAAAAACCATGACCTCGCTACTGCAACTCATAAAATGGTTTTTCATTCGTACTCTCGAAAAAAGAAAAAGGCCAATAATATTCTAACAATGAACCATTGTGCAAGCTCCTTAAAAATTGAATCTTAATGCCACGTTCATGCACCATATTCTGCGGTGCAACTTTTGTTATTGCAAAGCACAGTTACTAATATCTACCACGCAAATGTTGGCCTATCCTCACCCAAATTGAAATTACTGGTAGGGCATACACGAGACCTGAATCACAAAGATTGAAACAGAGAACCAACCAACAAGACAGATAACAAATTCTGATGTAGAAAAGTTGTGGTAGTGGAGATCAGAACAGGTTATTGTCTATCAAAATTCAAACTTAAAAAGTAACCATATAGAGAAAAAGCATGTTATTATGGTAGGTAGCATCACAGCAAAAATACAGTTTGAACTCTTTGATGGGGCATCAAGCCGAATACAGAAGAAACGTAACAACAGGTTATAGACTGTAAGCATTCTAACTTAAAAGAGTTATTATGTAAAGATAGAGCATATGACTTAAGGAGCATCTGAACAAAACTTCTGAAATCAAGTTGAACTATTTGACATATTCCTACCAGACCGTAGAGAACCTTATTAGCGCCAGCGCACGTATGGGGTCAAAATAGTAATGTATATATTTACAATTACTTTAAAACACAGGATACAAAACATCACTAATGAACTTAAACAAGCAGCGAGCAGCATGCCAAAGGTGCTGTCAATGGAGAAAAAAACTGAACATTACCAGGGGGAGCAGGCCACTCCACAAGCAACAGCCCTGTTTGGAGAAGCACTCCAGTTTTTATTGAGAAATGAAGAAAAATATTTAGGCTGTGTTTGGAACTATCCTATCTGAATCCAGAGTGGCTTAGTTTAAAATTGTTTATGGTATAAGTATATGTATTTATCATTTAATCAAAGCATGGTGCACTATCATATGCCAAAATAAGTTCTGAACTAAATCTGATGCTCGGACAATAAACATAATCATTCCTCTAAATTACACTTGAGAATTCATACTAAATCAGAAATCAAGAGTCGGGAATATGTAAAAGATTACACATAGTCACAAATTATGAAAACATACACTAGTGTTCCATTCATTTTCTTGGATCACATTGTCAAATTGCAAACTGCATAATAATTTACTATGCTACAGCATTGTGCTTCCACTTGATTAATTGCATGCCTAAATGCTTAATAATCACCACTAATTGTTTTTCACAGACCATTAGTTGTAGTTTCTGTAACCCCAGCAGCCAGAAAACAGAGAACAACACAGTCAGATGAGCTAAATTAGCAAAATAGGAATTAGATAATGCAAAAACAACACAACTGAAGCGATAGTTCATACTAACTAACCTATCATCAACATTATAACACAATGTACATTCCATAAGCCCATTGGAAACAATGAATGAATAATATCTTTTCATTTATCAAAATTACATTCACCCAATCATTTATTTATTTGGTAAATCCAGAGAAACAATCTCAAATATCAATAACTTGTTTGTGTGGCATGATTAACGCACAAAAGCACCTAGCCTGCAGAAAAAACAAGCATGTATAAATAAAGAAGAATACATTCCAGCACAGCCTAAACATTCTACAAATCCTTCTGTAAAAGGATACGCTACTAACTTTTCCAACGTGCATCCCTTACAAATCCAGCAACACAAAAAAAAAGCAGATGAATTAATGCAGCAAATGTTCTTTGCAGTCCAAATAATTTCATTGCTCGCATTTGTTCAATCATGAAAAGCATTTAAATCACTTGCCTCGAAGATATAAAATTGAGCTTATGCTATCTAAATCAGAGAAAGAACAACTCAACATAGTACTTCACTCATTAAAATTAACATAAAAACAAAACCCATAAGAGAAAAACTTTAAGTTCATTAACATTCATAAGCAAAATAACAACAAAAAACCTCGTACTAATCCAAATTAACCAAGTTCTCACTTACAAGAACTCCCATAGTTCTCTTAAGGCAACACCAAGAACAACAGCAAGAGCACCAATAATCCCAAAAGGCTACAAAATGATTCTCAAAGATCATCTTCATCTCTCAAATACTGACCAATATCAGAGTAGTTGTGCACAACAATCCCATTAGGATCACACTTCCTACATTCCTGTGTCGACCTGGCAGCCGTTCCAAACCCCAAAGCCACATCACTCATAGAGAACACAACAACCCCATCATTTTGATTAATACTATCAGTAATCTTCCCTAACCCACCTTTTAACACAGGGTTCCCATACAAAAAAGACATCTCTGAAGTGGGCTTTAACCAAACTTTATTTTTAGCGTTAGCAGCCAATAAATTCAGTGACTGAACAGTCAATCTAAATTTTCCGTTGTGAGTGAATTTCCCAATACAAGTACCTAAAGAAACCAAATTTTTGCGGCCAATGTTTGTTGCTCGCTTCACTAATGATTCACTGATGTAAAAGACCTTATTTTTATGGAGCCTGAAGCAGTACCGACCTGGGTTCGGCTCTGGTCCTTCATGTGATGGGTTTTCAATGATGTTTTTGAGGTTGTTTCCTGTGAACAACATAAGTTTCTTGAAAACTTCACTCATTTCGTTCTCGTCCAAAGGCCTCATCTTGTTTGTTTCTTGTTTTGTCGAAAGGAACAGAGGCTGAAAGATTGAGAATTCAAAGGCTGCAGCGAAAGTAAGGTTTCTGCTTATGTTATCGCCTAGGGTTTTAGACTTTGGCGATGACATGCTCCTCCCCAAAATTTAATTATTTTTACGTAAACAAACTGGGCTGGATGTTGTGTATAATGACATAAAAGGGCCTAGCCCATATACTACCCAAACATATCCGCTCAAACAAAGCCTAGCCCAAATGGGTGGTTTCAGTATTTATTTATTTATTATTATTATTTTCGTTTTATTGGGCAAATACGTAGATGAGTAAAATAATAAACTAGTCCCTCTATTGTTTTTATAAAAGAATTAATTATTCATTTTCACCAATGTTAACTACGCGTAATTTATTAATACTTTATTCTATCATTCTTTTTCATCAATCCTTCTATATTATTTATTTATTTATTTATTTTTCTTAAAAGAAAATCAAAATAAATTGAAAATAAAATGAAAAAGATTAAGTTATAAAATATTTTAAAATATAGAGACTAAATAATTAATTTTTAAAATAAAAAACTAATTAATTTATTTCTGAAAACTAAAGGAATTAATTATAATTCTCCCATATATATAGATGCATGTTTTGATTTGGAGATCCAATATTGAAATTTTAAATGGAAATCAGAAATAAAATTATAAATGTAAGATGGTGCTTGTATGATCTTGGGTAAGTACAGGAGAGAATACCATTGATGATTGAAAGAATTTCTTGTGATGGTAACTTTCTTAATTAGAACCTAAAGGAGAAGGGATTCAATTTTTTGTTATATAGCTAGCTCAAATATAATTAATCATTAAAGAAAAGTGATTTTAAAAAAAGTTTTATACTAAATTTTCTACTTTAATTTATTGGTGGTAAACTATGGATTGTATAAATAATAAATGGTTGATCTCATATTAAAAAAAATAAATAACTATCACGTGTTTTTATATAAAAATTTTGTATAAAAATTTTGTTTGTATAATACTATCCTTTATTTTTAATTAGAGATAGATTGGTGATTGGATATCTAGAATGGAAAATATTTCGCACATATAAACCATGCATGACTTTGACTCCGCTCAAGGATTCATTGGAGAGAAAAAAAGCAAAAAAAATAAAAAAAGGTTAGGCCGCCACAAGAAAGAGAAAGGTGGTATTAAAGTGCAAGTCGTTCTTCGTTGCAAGTAACATTTTTATTAGGATTTTTATAAACTAAAATTAGTCTTATAATTTGTGTTGATGTTTTTATTTTGGCAAGGAGAAATTGAGAAGTAATGCAGCGCAAGTGGAGACCTGCAATGATGACCCAGAGAAGTTGTGTTTATACAAAATATTGCTACGAAACAAATCAATAAATCAATAGGGCTTTCACTCTAGATAAGGTGAATTGAGCTATACAAGTCTTTGAATTATAGAATATTTTTCGGTATGTATATTGATTTGTGATAGTTTATTTTTTATAGTCTTTTATATGATATAAGAATACAAAACTATATTAAGTGTATAAAAATAAGAGTTCAAACTTCTATATAACTTATATATATATGTTATTGGTTATATACATAAGACTTAAAAAGATGATGAAGACACAGCAGCAGTAGTCCTAGGAGAGAAAGAAGACATGGTAGCAGAAACAACAGATCCTAGTAAAGGAATAAGACTTTGGTAAAGATGATGCAACATTAGCAAAGACTTGTCTTAACACTCCCTCACAAACCGAATGTGGTCTCACACAAGGAGTTTTTTTATAGAGAAATCGGAACCGCATAATTGCTAACGGTTTAGTGAGAGTGTCTCGCTACTTGATCCTAAGTTGAAATAAAAAGTACCTGGAGATTCTCCTTTGAAATCATGTCTCTTATAAAATGAAAATCAATTTTAGTGTGCTTTGTTCATGCATAAAATAATGGGTTAACTCGTTATATATGTAGCCCCAACATTATCTCACTAGATTATGGGTTTAGAAGTTAGGAACACCCCAAGTTCACCTGAAGAGAAGTGACCCAAGACATTTCAATAGCCGGGTCAACTACTACTTTATATTCAGCTTACGTAGAGCTCCAAGCAATAATTTTATATTTAGATGATTTTAAAAAAAATTGGACCAATATAAAAAACATAGCCACGTGTAGATTTTATATCTTCAAAAAATCTTGCCTAGTCAAAGTTGGAAAAATCGGATAGGTCACAAGATAAAGCTTTGTGAAGATGGAGACTTAGAGTTGTAGTGTTTTTAAGATACCGAAGAATTTGTTTTATAGCAACACAGAGTGCTCAACCTTGGGAGCATACATGAACCGACATACTTTATTTACAATATAGGCAATATCTAGTCTAATCAAAGTTGCATATTGATGGGTTCCAATCACCTGGCTATAAAGAGTAACATCTTCAAAAGCTAAATAAGTGGTCTTTAGTTTAATTTGGAATTGGTAGGCATGAGAGTAGAGATTGGTTTACAAGTAGTCATGCCATGCTTTACCAACAAATTAAGAATGTATTTCTGTTGGAACATGAAAATAACATGCTTTATGGGTATCAACTCAATTCCTAAGAAAGAAAAAAACTAAAAATGTTGATATCTCTTATGGCAAATTTAGAGTTCATAATCCGAATTACTTTTTGTAGGAAATAGTGATCATTTCCTATAATGAGAATGCCATCCACATAAACAAGGACAAATACCTTATAAGTAATGAAATTGTAGATAAAAAGAAAGTTGTCCATTTTAGAATCAATAAACCCAAAAGCAAGTAAAAAATCGTTGAAGTAGGAAAACCATCCTCTAAGAGATCTGTTTGAGTCCATAAAGAGATTTATGCAATCGACAATCATGGTGAGAAAAGTTAGTGTCCACAAAGTTAGTAGGTTGAGACATATAGACTCGGTTCATGAAGAGTACCATTAAGGAAAGCATTATGGACATCCAATTACCCAACCATAAGACATTACAAGAGCTAAAACATAATGAATACCGGTAGGTTTAACCACTAGGCTAAAAAGTCTTACCATAATCCACTTCATTCTACCGATTAAACCCTTTTTGTAACTAACTTATCTTTGTGCCTTTCAATGCTGCCATATGCCATTTTTTTAGTCTTAAATACTCACTTACTGCTACTTATGTTCATAGATGGAGAAGGAGGAACCAAGAACCAAATGCTTATATGTAGGAGGGCTACAATTTTTGCTAACATGGTTGTTCACCATGGTAAGTACTTGCATGCTTCGGAGAAAAAAGATCGAGACTTAAAGATGAAAATTATGAAACGATAAGAGAGGGATGGGTATTTTGATGGTCTATCATATAGTGACTTAAATCAAGGATAAGATTCAAGCCGACTTAAATTCGCGGTAAAGCATTACTTGAAGAAGAAACCATAGATGGTAAGTTAGGAGAGATAATATAGGAAGTGGGGATGTGTGACTATCAATTAGGGAAGGTATGATTTTTGTTTTGATTGGACAAATAAGTAGGGACTGTGTAAAGGATCATGCATCATATAAAGGTATAGAATAAAGCAAAAATTTTCATCCATCTAAGGCTTCCAAGATCAAGTCGTTGAATTAACTAATCATAAATACATGAATTAAAAGCATGAGTAAAGAATTACCTCTTGTAGTGCGGATTTGACATTTGTAGAAAAGAAGTCGTCTAAGTGTTCAACCTTTATTGATAATCCACACGAGCTTAAACATCCACGAAGGAAGCTACAAAAATCATAGATTACTAGCTCCAATCTTTCCGTATAGTTAACTTTTCTTTAAAGATCAAATTAGGATTTTTTTTTTTTTTTTTACGATAACTCATGTTTTTTAAGGAGGGATGCTATAACTCTAGCTTTTGGGAGAGAAATACTTACTCTTGCTTTTTCTTTTTTACCGTGTATCACTCTAGTAATCTTATCCTCTTTTTCGCCTCCCTCTTATTTATATAGGGGGCGACATCCTTATCCTCCTAGGACAATGAGTTGTCATGTGGGTGGGCTTTTTCGATCTTATCCTTGTAAACCCTAAGCCTTATCTAATAGGGCTTAAGTTTATCCTCCCACCAAAATATCTTACATGCTTTTAGATTAAGCCTCGTTGGCCTAATTAATTTTGACTACCCAAATAAAATTGAGTTAGATATTTTTAGGAAGCCCATATTAAGAAACAATTTTCTAAATTATCCTAAAACTTAAATTAGGAAACTAATTTCCTTTTAAGGTAACTTACTTTCAAATTTAGAACTGACTTCCAAATTAGGAAACTGATTTCTAAAATAGAAAAATTTTCATTTTAGAAAACCTTTCATTTTAGGAAAAAAAATTTTCGAAACCTTTTCGAAATAAAAAACTTTCAAAACTGGAAACCTTTTCTAAAATCTTTGTTTCTTTTTTATTATGTGAATACTTCAACTTATAGGTATGACTCAATAACCTCCTAGATATTTTAAGAATGTATCAAGAATAAAAGACACCTCTTTTATTTCTTGAGACATAAATCAAGATTGGTCTCTAGCTTGGCATCATGATTACTTAACTCTTGAGGAGGATTAATTAACTTATAATTACTTTTCACGAGCATGGTTATCATACAATTTAGTTCTCATGTTAATTTATCACAATGTGATCTCAAACTTGATTTATAGTTGGATTGATTATGTTCACACAAGTTTTTTTTATTCCCAAATGTCTTAGCTCTAGAGTAAACCAACTATGCTCTATTGGTGTAATCTTACCGTAGCCACAATTCCTTGAGCATAGATTTATCGAAGTGCAATATGATAAATCTTTTAGCATATAAGAAATGACATGTCTTATCTTAATCATCCACCTATTTGCATTAGATTTCTAATGGACCTAATGAAACACCTGCTTGTAGCTTTTGACTAAGCCCAACGAAACGAGTGTTAAAGTACATAAATCCTTTAATGAGATAACCGTGATGACTTTAAGTGAAAAGACCAATTGTGTCCATCTTG